GCGGATCTAGGCGAAGCTAAGCCAAAGTCCTTGATAATAGACAATCCTTGATATAGGTTAGAAGTTTAACAGGAGCCACGGTGGCTCAGTGGGTAGGACGTTGACTCGCTAACCTGGGGGTCCCGTGTTCGATCTCTGCGTTGGCCGAGAAAGCTCATCGGGATTTTCCGGCGTGGTACCTACTTGTATATAAGTGGTGCCAGACCGAGGGCCTGGCAAAGGTCGAAAAACCGAGGTACCGCGTACACATTGGCGTGCACGTTAAATTCGATATAACAGGCTGTAGCGCCACTGCACTGTCACGGCAAAATGTCCCTCATAGCACACTACGTAGCATGTGCCCGTGTCCATTAGACCAGTCGGAGGAGAAAAATAGGACGTTAACCCTCATTTCATTTCATTTAGAAGTTTAACTTCGATCACATGGAGACTCTATGACCACGTGTGTGGTGCTAGAAATAATTTCCCTCATTCTAAATGTCAAGGACTCTTTTACTAGCGTCCCTTTCTTGTCAAGTGGGGACCGGGTCTGAAAACTCCCAAGAGTTATCGGACCGCCTATCCTTCATCCCGGGTTAAATGGACTGCTCGCCACAAAGATCAGACGGGAACCGGTGGTCTAAACGTCGATTAGTCCCGAAATGACCTAGTTTGTGTCGAGTGGACGTTAAACCCCATTTCTTTTTCTAAACATCGTACATTCTCCCAATTCTAACCCTAGCCTTAATGTCCTACTTTTCTGCACCAACCGGGACAATGTTTATATCATACAGTGTGCTATGAGATAAATTTTGTCCGGCCTACTCTTATTTGGAATTTCAACTGTCAAGGGTTCTTTTACAAGCACGTCAATGTGTACACGGGACTTCGGTTTTTCTATTACTTCCCAGTATGTGGTTGCACCGAGAAATAACTACTATTCCTCGCATTTATAAACCTATAACGGTAAATATCTTTCATCTTTGGGATATATTCTATGCCTGGAATTACTTGCGGTCTGAAAGTGTGTGTGAGTGTGAGGGTGTGTGGGTGTGTGTGTAGGGGGTGGGGGGCTTCGAATATATACAGGGGAATTTGGGATTATTCTTCTGAAAGTTTTTCTTTAAACCTGTAACGGGTTATTCTTCCAGGGTAGGTTTTTATTTTCCATAAGGAAACATGATATAAGGTTTTTCTTACTGGAATTCTGGGATACTCTCATTTACGTACATGTAAACATAGACGGGTTATAAGCAAGATAAAGTCTTCGACTTCGATTATGCTGGGGACGAAAGACTAAAGGAAAAAAACCTCGTAAGAAAAACCTCGGCCTCCGGCCTCGGGTTTTATTTTTCTCGTGGTAATTTTCTTTAGTCTTTCTTTCCCTAGCATAACCTCAATCTCTTACTTTATCCTACACATAAAACACGCCATCCAATTAGCAAATTAAAACATGTTTGCAATAGTAATGACGAGTGTCGTGCACGAGGAAGGGTATGCTTAATTTTTCTAGAACATCCCATACCTCACCTTAGTTCAATTAGCTAAACAATTTTTGTTTTTATAGATGAGGTCATAACTCCCCACCCACCATCAGCCACCCAAACGCCTTTTCCGTATTCTTTGAAAGACAACTTGAAAAACAAAATTAGGTTGTCTCCCTTACAATTAAAGCCCACTATTGCTTCTGCGTGTTAAACCGTACATGTACGAATCAGTCAGCGCTTCACGTGCTCATTGATATCAACTGCACCCTTTATAAATGATGATGTTTCCTAGTTATGACATGTATGATTTTTATTTATAGCTATACCATATTAATGCCACAGAGAATGCGTTCGGGTATCTACGGCAATTTATATCAAACGGGCCCACCTTCTGACTAAAACTTTCTCAAGACGTATTTGATTACGACGGATCACTTATAACGCAGTTTGATACCATTTATTTTAAGGCTAACATATGTTGGTATATTTATATAGAGAGAGTGAATCGGTTGTTTACATTGATTATTCCTAGTACATCATCGTATAAGTCTATGTATATAACCAGGTTATATAAAACATACATAAAACCAAAACTATAGATTCTGTGCCGATTCAATCAAAAGGATTTTAGGATCATGCAATTAGAGCGGTCCTGCACATATTAGCATATATGAAGTCATTTGTGCAGTGCCGTCTCCGATCTAGCTCTCTCTAATTGCATGATCCCATGGGGTTTAACGTTCTGCGTTTCTCCACCCACCCGGATAATGATAACGGGCTCAAGAACTCCAATTGCAAAGGTTTCTTTCGTCCTATCTGAACAACAGGGTGCCGATCCTTGCCAGACAAGGGGAAGCCAGGCTGAAAACTTCCAGAGCATTTCTCTGCCAACGACCAGATCGAACCCGGGGCTTCGCCAATTTCTTATGGAATTACGGGGCTCTAGACCGACCTACGCCAAACATTAAACATGCATTATGTCACAGCTAAATCTGCCTATTGCAGGTCTTTCTTTAGGCCTTAAATGTTATCTAAATTATTAGACATTAATTAACTTATTAAGACCATAATCAACTCTCAATGCCATCGTTAGCCTGCTATATTTAGTGGATTTGAAAATGGTTTGTGATCGATAGATGATTTAACGTAAAAATGGATGATGGGTTAAATGCGGAGCTTTATACACAGGGAACCGGACCATCATGATTATGGGTTAAACGGCCATATTCCTGACACGACCCAGTAGTAAAACAACACATAAACAGGCCCCAAATAAACGAAATGGTGTTTAACACCCCCATTGCTGTAGGGAATCATCAAAGAACCAAGTGAGTGTGACATACAAAGCTGAACGAATCTGCTTGCTAGCGCCTTTTAAAACAATCATGTATTCCTTTGCAACCCGAAGCCTTTCTTTATTCTAATTTGAAAACTTCCGTAAACAATGGCCACAGCGCACACTAATTGTTTCGTCGACAAAGATTCAAAGCCACTGCCTGATTAATATTTAAAACTACATTGTTCAATATACATGTCTTATCAGAGAAGTTTTGTTTAAAAATCTAAATTTTTAAATTGGTTTGTTCAAAGTCAAAGTGGTTTTGATGTCATTGTAATACACGACATCTGTTTCCCAATATGGCGATTTATCATTCAATATGGCGGTTATCATTCAATCAGTAATTCAATGTAATATTTTATCTATATATCTTTAAAAGCGTTAATTGTTGTCAAGTGCGAAATCTTCGTTGATAATATGCTTTTGACGGTGGTCTTAAAATCAATACTTTAATGTAATACACATGTTCTCTGGGGATATCGTTCAGCTTCACTTCCAGCCATTTTATTCTGTCATGCATTGTGCTGGTGTTTAATCTGTGTTTTAATTTAGTTTAGAGGTAAATTATTTATAAGTTTTGTAATTATTTTTATATGTTATAGTTTAAATATTTCAATCGTCTTAATGGGAGAGACTGGTTCATCTGGAAAACGGTACCTGCGGTTATGAATTCATGTCCTCCTTTGGTCCTTGATCCCTGGGATATCAATAGGGAGGTGGTAACACTAATCACCACCAATCGAGTCAAACATATTTCATATCATCATTCGATGAGGCACCCGGAGATTGCAACTTTCAAATATTTTCTATCAAAAGCAGTCTTTTAGTAACATATACATAATTTAGACAGTCGGAGCAGAACAGCAGGACGTTAAACCACATTTCATTTTCATTTCATAATTTAGAAGCAGTTATCCGGGAATTGCCTGGGGTGGGGAGGGTTATGCCCATAATTGGGAGGCAGTTTTCCAGTAATTTTGTGTTGGGGGCGGAGGTTGGGGGGTCATCCGAACAACTTCCTGGCCACCACTGGTGTGGCAAGGAGAATCCACAATGAAAGATCACCAGGATCGAATCAGAGACACCCTGGTTAGTGCGTCAGCGCCTTACACACTTGGTCACTGTGCCACCATGGCTCCCGTGGTGATATCTGGTGGGGTTGTCGTTAATCACCAATTAAATCACCATTGGGTTTCACCTTATTCTCACTGAAACACATTTCAAATTGAGAATCGATGAACGGTGGGTCATGTAATCCTTGAAGCGCTCTTTAAACTTCCCATTATAGAGACGAAGACCAAGTAAGGATATATAAGCTATCGAGGTCGGCGAACGGTACGATGCGAAAAATATCTGAAATGAAATTAAATGAAATGAGGTTTAACGTCCTACTGTTCCGCTCTTCTGGGCTAATGAAGACGTCATACACCATACAGTGTGCTATGAGGGAAATTTTGCCCGGACAGCGGAACTACGGCCGACTCCTATATCGAATTCAAACTGTCAAGGGATCTTTTATGTGCACGCCAATGTGTACACGGGACCTCGGTCTTTCGTCCCATCCGAACGACTAGACAGCTGTCCTTGTCAGACCCTCAGTCTTGTATCACTGACAAGGGATCTTTTACGTGCACAGGAGCTCGGTTTCTCGTCCCATCCGAACGACTACACAGCTGCAGCCCTTGTCAGACACTCAGTCCTGCATCACTGACAAGGGAAACCACGCCGGAAAATCTGGATGAACTTTCTCGGCCAGTGCAGGGATCGAACATCCGACCTCCTGGCTAGCAAGCCAGCGCCTTACTCGCTTTGTCACCGTGACCCCACCCCCTCTCCACCACCACCACAAAAAAACAAAATATCTGGACTACGTAGCTCTGAGCTGAAAAGGGGTGCCTGTTGTTTAAATTGGACAAAGTTTATTCAATAATTTAGGGATTTTGTACGGAACAAGACTTGAAATGTACATAGAGCGGCTACATTTATCCCTATATATCCACACAGCTACTCTAAATTAATATGAATCAAGACATATAACCGCGGAAGAAATCATTACTCGCCAAGTTTATAGTCCCTTTAAAACCTTGCCGTGTTCCGTTCCCAACCTTATCACGATCAACGATCACCAACGTCGCTAAGCGCTAGATGTATAGATTGCCTTTTATTACGACCTTCCAACTCGGCTTCTAGTTTACAGCAGTCACTGAAAAGACACGAGAGTATATCGCTCACCAGTTTTCAGATATCGTTGGGCCAAGCAGCAGTGTAGTTGTAAAGTGTATAGCGGAGTGATCGGGTTGACTGCCGTAACCGCCCGGCCACTTAAAGTTTATATAGCCCCCGTGAACTGACGGATCATTAATTGCTATCAACAAATGGGGGCGTAGCACTTATTACGCCATTTGATTGGTCGGTGGGCCGACCCCTGTGTGATATCAAGATAAAGGGCGGTATATAGTGTATGTATAAACTACATGAAGATGTAGAATGGAATATGATCAATTTTGAAAGAGACTGTAAAAGATCAACAAAAACATAGCAGTATATACATACATAGATATAATTGTGAATGAACTTTGAGTGGATGCGGTCGCTTTAATAACGGACTGTCGTATATACTAGTAGACTGTTATGTAGGTAAAGTTGTAATATACTTATGTGTATATATATATAAACTACTAGAATACCTACTGTTAGCTGATTAATTATTGTGATAAACAGGTACCGACCTCTAGTGTTTTATGGAGACCGTGAATATTATATATAGAATGAATTAGACGTGTATGTTTCTTGTTATTATAGAATGCACAAAAAGACAACATCATGTTACAACTGAGTAAAGGATTAAGCCATTATTTGGATATTTTCAAATTTCTTCTTTTATCTGTGATAATTTCAGGTAAGAATTATTTATATTCTCTTTTGTTTTTTTAAATTTTAAAAAATATCAAGGCAGGACGACTGTACATAATAAACAGATAAAACATACGACATTGGGGCCACAGCAGTAGATGCATACACATTTCACAGATAACATAGATATTGAAACGGAAAAAAAGTTAGATAATGAAGAATATTTAAGGAAAACATTCGTAAACCGTGGTATTCGGGTTCTTGATTATGACGACCGCTTTGTCTATTAAGGATGACTGCCCATTATAATACAGACAAAACAAACGACACAGGGGCCACAGCAGAGATATTACAATCAGTTGCAGATAACATAAACAATTTACAACAATAGGAAAATAACGAGGAATATTTAACAAAAACATTCGTGATCCGACGTCTTTGAGATCGCAAATTATGACAACCGCTTATGTCTTCTAGCGGCCGTATGTTCAGCCATTGTTAATGTAAGTTACTGATTGATAGGTAAACATACACGTGTAAATCAACGGATGTACATTACAGTGATGATCTACACTGTGACAACGGCTTGATGTTATTTGAACGGCCATACCCGGTCTTAGTACCGCATCGGACACAAACATAAAGAACCCCTGTATAAAAATCGCCACATCGTTAGCCGACACACAAAAAGAACAGTTACAACGACTCACTGATAGCCTTGTTTTTATTACCACGTGCGAGGTTCGTTTTATACATTAACAATATTTATTTTACATATCCGTAAAGAAACTATGTTCTGTTACAAATTAAAATTAAATAGATATAATAATAGATTGACGTTCTGAGTTGTATGGTTCATATAGTAGTATTTAAGAGAAACCGTGTAATATCATTGTGTTATGCTGGAACTATAATAAGTCTAGCCGTTGTATTCCGCAGTTTATACCAACGTCTCAGAATCAGGGGAAGTAAGAAAGTACACACTAAAGACGGGAAAATAGAACCAAACGTCTTTGGCTCTATATTGACAATAAGATTGTGCATAGTTCCGTTCAACATGTCGTTGACAAAATATAAGTTTGATAAACAAAGCAGAATAAAATACACAGAGAGAGAGAGAGAGAGAGAGAGAGAGAGAGAGAGAGAGAGAGAGTTTAACGTCCACTCGACACAAACTAGGTCATTTCGGGACTAACACACGGTTCAATTTTATTTTAATAATTCGCTTGCGCGTAGGGGTCTTTAGCAGTGGGAGAAAACCGGAGGACCCGGAGAAAACCCACGAGGTTGGACAGGCGACCCTACTCCTTGTCACGTACAACCGGGGAATCGAAACCACGCCAGTTGACTCAATGACAGACCTTATGATACAGCGCGCACGTGCTAACCATTCGGCCACCCCCCCTCACCCCACCCCCGAAAAAAAATACAATCTCATAACAAATTTGACCAAATTTGATCCTTGTCTTACGAATGTTACCAATTAATGATCGGTTATCTGGCCACGAATTACTGATATGTTGGATATTTTAAAATAAAATATTGCGAAACATAGTCATATTGCGATAACAGTTTTTAAATAATGCGATATCCAAATATTAAATAACGCTTAACACTGATTTCAAACATAGTTTTACAGGACATACTGCCATAACGAACTACAAACATTATAGCAATTTCTTCAGTTTATCTCTCTTAATGGAATATATTCCTCGTTTAAAATTCCCGAATGTATTACAAAAAACTGTCAAATAATTTCTATAATACAATATTCAAGAAGGCAATATCTCTTTTAAACGATCAATGGTGCAATAAAATACTTGAAGGAAGTGACATTTTTACCATTAATATTCTCGTGTTTGGTTTTTTTTTTGGTATATATATGGATGGCTATTTATATATTTCAGTACAACATGAATGCATTTTCTGTTCTTGATAATAAGAAAATCGAACCGTTGACATTTCTTTGCTGCTGAAATACAATATGAATGTGGGGGTTTGATAATACATGTATGATACACGTAAGCTAACTAGAAATGCAGCGATTTACATTAATGAAACTGGACTAAAATAAATAAACTTTACTGGGAATAATCAATAATACATTTTTTAAATAGCAATGTACGTGTCTTAAGGTCGTCACGGTCGTGTCATATAAACACCTTTTATTACTATGATATAAAAAACTATAATATGATATAAATTGAATTAAGTCATAAATTGATTTTTTTTTTTTTTTTGTCAATACTTTTACAAGTTCCGCGAACAGCCTGACTGCCAATACAACGTGTTAGATTCTGATACACGATTTTTCAATCAATACAACTTTAATAAACATTTTTTCTTTAAAGAAATACAAAATATATTGGCCTGCATGAGTATCTCGCATTTGAATACGACCTGGAACATTGACATTCTGGTTGCTTTCATCGCATAAATATGGAACAATGGAACAAAGAGCCCCAATGGGCCCAATGTGTTGCCGAAATGAATGACGACTAATAGACTGGAGAACCGTATAAGAAAATACAGACAAAATAAATAATGCAAGTACAAGTATACCCCTTACACAACGTTGCCCCGTTGCTAATGGACGCGTTCAAGTGATATTGGTCAATTTGTAGATATACATGTTGCTGAGATGAATTACGACTACTAGACAACACTGGAGAAATGCATTAGAACCATAGACAAAACAAATGCTGCATCGGCAAGTTGATACTCAGATATATCAAGGACCTCAACGTTGTCCCGATATTAATGGGCGCGTACAATACACGTGGTAAACGCACAATACTAGATCTTTGTACGATCTGGAAAATATATTTCTCTAGGGTTAGGGTTCGAGTTAGGTTTACATATTACATGTCAAACGTACCAATTGAAGCTGTAAAAACGGTGGATTGTGTGTAAAACTATTCTGAAGGGTTAGGGTTAGAATTGTGGGTATAAACACGGAAAGATATTTTCCACAGATCTAGTATCGTGCGTGGTAAACATACTGGATATCCTGTAGACAAACATATATTTCCGACATAAATTACGATTAATAACCTGGAGAACAGCATAAGTAAATATAGACAAAACAAACAATACATAGACAATTTACAAGTAGACCTATATACCCAGATTAGCATCACCTGCGTAACGTTATTCGGGTGTTAATAAACGTTTACCAGTGCGACGGTTCAGTATGCAGACAGACATAATGGAATAATTATATTTACCAGAGAAACGTATGCCTGAGAAAAACAAGATGGCGGCATAAAATCAATAGAAAGGGATGGCAATTTTAGATGACCTTAACACCTATTAGTATTGACCCAGTTAGATACTTTTTGAAACATTATAATTTATAAGAAGATTACCATAAGTCTGTATTTGTCTTTTAGTCTGTAATATTGTGCCTTTAACTAATAAAAATTTAAAATAATTAATTAATTATTCTGAACAAAAAGAAATATGATATTTTGACATATTTTGAAAGTTGGTTATCGGCTTGTGTAAATCTATTAATCTCAAAGTCCAACAGAGACGATGATCTAGAGGCTATGGTCTCGAATATTAATCGATTTAATGCTGTATTCTGTCGTATAGCTAACTAAACGAATGTTAGCGTGCCAATAATTCTTATAAAATGAAAGGCTTTTTAAACAAAAGGAAATGATATTTGATTCTTGTGAAAGCATCACGCCATCATCCTCTTCCTATCTGACAAGTTGAATTTGTCGTCTCTAAAACTTTATAATTGACTATCAAAAAAACTGTTAAAATCGTTTTATAACAAATGACTACTGTTCAACGCTTACTAATGTTGTAGTGTTTTTAATCGTGTTTTAAAAGAGCGTAAAATTAATAACTGGGTAGTAAAAACTGTTTATAATAAATGTTCTATTGTTCCACCATTTTTCATTATTATTTTTCACGAAGAAGATTCTTTAATTTAAAGGAGCAGAATATGTTTTTACACATTACCACGTAAAATTATAAAGGCTAATTGGGTACTTTTTCTCAATTAAAGTCTGGTTCATAATTTCCAGATAAGAAATGATTTCAAGTTTAGATGAATATCAATTGTCACAGATTCTATACATTATTCATAACATAAACTAGGACACAAGGATATCATAATCAATCATTTTAACTTTGGTAAAAACTTCTCTCATAATATACAAAATCGTAGAAAGGGAGAAAAATTTAGAGGTGGTGGGGGGGGGGCATCTTTTTTAAAAATAAATCTGAGAAGTGATATAAAACGTTCTAGACTAAATCAAAATCCTATCCAATATCCGCTATTTGTTACAGTTAAATGATAGAGAGAGAAATGGTATTTAACGTCTACTCGACACAAACTAGGTTATTTCGGGACTAACACATGGTTCAATTTTATTTCAATAATTCGCTTGCGCGCAGGGGTCTTTAGCAGTGGGAGGATACAGTTAAATGAAGCTTGGGCTTAACACAGCAGCGAGCGCACCAATAGGGCGACGGTGTGTGTGTGGGGGCGGGGGGGGGGGGCGCATCGGCGGCACACTTTCTTCTTGGGAAGGGGAAGTTACGTACTACATTAAGGATACAAGACGCCCGATACAGTTTTAGTGGTGAGTGGCGTGGCAAACTGAGTTGCGGGAAGGGGCGCAATGAGAAGTAAATCTTCCTGATGCAAGCCTTTCTTTGGACCTTAAATGTTATATAAATTATTAACTAGACATGTATTAACATGACAAGACCATAATCAACCCTCGATGCCATCGGATGGTTCCGATTTTAAGTAGATTATAAAGGTTCGGACATTTTATGATTTAAACTTAAAACGGAGAAGCGAGGCTAAGACTCGAATGACCAGTACGGTGGTTACGATCAATGCACTCATCTATCAAAACTACAACTATTGATAACTTCGCTCAAAATAAAGTAGTTTGAATGAAATTTTCAATATATTCATTTTGCATTATCTATTTTTGAAATGTTATAACGAGACCGGTCAGCTCTTTATCTAAATCTTACACAATGCCCCTTTAATAAAATTAAATCACCAAGAAAAAT